AAAAAAAAATTTTTTTTTTTTTTTTTTTTTTTTAAGACTTTATTTTATTTTTAGAGAGTGGAAGGGAGAGAGAGAGAAACATTGATGTGAGAGAGACACATGGAGTGGTTGCCTCCTGCTCGAGCCCCCACCAGGGCCAAGCCTGCAACTGAGGTATGTGCCCTTGGCCAGAATCAAACCTGGGACTCTTTGGCCTGTGCAGACTGACACTCTAACTACTGACCCAAACCGGCTAAGGTAGTTCATAGTTCTTTGGTAGATAGTTGTAAACAAACTATGAAAACTAGCATGTTTAGGAACAAAGACAAATTAATACATCTTAAAACATCAAAACTTGGCTAAGAGGCATTTTTAATAATCAACCTCAGAGGTCAATAAAGAGTTATAAATACCCAGTTTACTATTACCTCACAATTCTGAAATTGGTGCTGTTCTAAAGAAATGTTTAATGTTAACATTTAATGTTACTTACTGGCCTTACAGGTAAATAAATATAGATCTGAAATGAACTAGTCATGATAACCAAAAATTTGGGGTAGGTATAGTAGAGAATATTAGAAGGGTAAATGAAATAAAGGACTGGCTAGTCTATTAAAAAAAAAAAAAAAAAAAAAAACCTAAAAAAAAATCAAACATACTCATCCAACTTGGATTCTTTCTCCCTCTTTTGAATGAGAAGACCCAGTCTGACTACGCTGGCTAAAAATGACTGTGTTTCAAATCTTCCTAGGGACTGAGAGTAAACTCTTAGAAAAAGGATTCACATCATGACCCAACTCTCTTTTTTCTGCTCTTCATCATCACCTCAAAAGAAACTAGAAAACTTCACGAAGAGCCCACTGAGTTAAAGTTCAAATCTTATCCTTAAAAGCATTAAACATAAAGGGTGCAAGACAAGAAGCAGAGTTTCTAATCTCTTTGTAGCATCACATTTTCATCTGCTGCATAAGAATAAATTAAGCTGCAAATGAGGATCAGAAAACTGGATTCAGATTTATAAGGTAAATACATACTACCAGTAAAGAGTAAGTACAATAGACTAGGAAACAAGGAACACTATGGGAACTGGGTCAGAGACAGGGTTTAACTTTAAATCAGAAATCTGACCTAAAAAAGTAAGCATGGCTTAGACCCTAATAGTATAACCCATTCTTGGGTATTCAAGTTAATAGAAAATACATATATGCACAACCCAAGAACACGGACAATGGTGGGGAGAGGGACTGGGGAGAGGGAGGGGACGGGGTGGAATGGGTCACTGGGGAGAAAAAGGGACATTTGTAATATTTTAAACAAAAAAAGAAAATATATAAGCTCAAGATAAAAGCTGCCACATACCTCACTTTAGGCACAGATCTAAAGACAGCTAATTGGGGATAAAATACCCACTACTTAAGAACTTAGGTAAAAATACTACTTATCAGAGTAAAAACATGTTAAAATGCCTGCTTTAAGAAAATGGAAATAATAGCAGCCACTCCCGTGTTGCTATTAAGGACCAGTGTAATCACAGCTCGCGTGCAGGGAGAGGAGCTCCTGTACCGATCAACCTGAGAAATTCCTACCACTCTGGCTCTACCACTAGCTGGGTGACCTTGGGAAAATTACTTAAGTTAGAGTTTTAGGTTCTTATTTGTAAAACAGAAATTATTTACCTATCTCATAGGGCTACTGTAAGTATTAGCTGAGATAACAGAACATTATACTTATTAGAGACCTAAAGCTGCTGATTGGATTGAACAAACATGAGTAGAAAATATTTAAAAATTAGGTCTGTGTTTTTATATGGCAAAATTTTCTGTGTGCTCCTTTTTGAAAAGGACATTTCCATCACTTATAAACTACTGTTCCAAATTATGTGATAATTTAGAACAAGGTCATTACACACCCAGATGGCCAAACCTGAAAAATACTGTTCTCATGTCAGAGACCTTGAGGAAAGAATGCTCTAATGGGACCAAAACGCCTTGGGAAGAATTATGATGTGAACAGCTCTAGAAATCTTAATTTGTAAAAGGTCACAGAGTTACAAAAAACATTGCTCATTTCAACTAATTAAGTGAAATTTTAGTTAAACGGCACCTTTAAATATTGGTATTGCAGCTGCGAGTGCATTTAAATAGCATTTACGCAGATATAATTAGCACAATTAAACATGGGTAGAAGTGGAAACACCATTCTTAATTATATTGATATAATCAGTTTTATTAATGCTTTATAGCAACAAAAGTGACATCTGACAGTAGCACACAATTCATGACTGATCCTAATATTAAACATGTTAGCATATTAAGGAATCTAAAGCCAGGTAATTGGGAAAAGAAAATCAAATAATGAGTTCCTACCTGTGACGATACCATAGTTGGGAGGTTCAAGAACTACTCCATAAAACTGGATGATGTTTCTGTGACTGAGGACACTGAGTATTTCTGCCTGTACAAAAATAAAATATAAAATTACATGAAGTTTCACATTTATAAGGTTTCTATTCAATTTTCTTTTAGATATATTTACAAAGATATACATATGTGCTCAGTAAGTATGTGATGCTGATAAAACTCTGTCTTTTAGCAGCATTCTTGAAAGTTTAAGAATTTTTACTGAAGTTTTCTGCAAATTTAAAACTGAAATGGGATTGAAGGGGCAACAAAAAAGGTGCCTCCTAGCAAGCCAGCACAACTGAGGGCGGAAAGGGTGGCTAACGAGGAGGGCTCCGCATTTATTTACGTAGAAGTCCTCTTGCTAACGGTCAGATACATTCCTTGTGCACAACGTCTCTTCTGGGAGGCTGCAGCAAGACTGAAATTTTGTCAGCCGGATGAGTAGTCATGATAAAATTAAGGTAGAGGTTTTTAACTATTAATGGAATAGATTCAGGTAATATTTATTTATATTATTTATCTAATCATTCATTAAAAATATTATTTCCGGCCCTGGCTGGGTAGCTCAGTCAGTTAGAACGTCATCCCCATAGGCCAAGGTTGCAGGTTCAAATTAACCAATGAATGCATAAAAGTAAGTGGAACAACAAATCAATGTTTCTCTCTCTCTCTCTTCCTTTCTCTCTAAAATCAATACAATTGTTTTTAAAAAGTTACTTTTCTCCTACTGTATGCAAAAGGTACTGTAAAGGATATAAAGGTCGATTTCTGACTTACAGTGCTGACTTGATAGTGAAGCCATGCTTTACACTGTGAAATGTATTAAATACTAGAAAACTGTCCTGCAGAGTAACATGGTAAAAAATAAATTAGATTTATCAAACTTAATTTCTGAAGTGAAAAACAGAGATAGTACGGTGTGTATCTGCTAATGTCTCTAGAAGGACATTCTCTAGATTGACTAAATCACATTCAGCCATTAAAATTTTATTTTTGTGGAGATAAAATATGGCTAATAAAAAATTATAAACAACTAGGTAAAAAGTCATGTAAGTCAAATATAGTAAATGTTTAATATTTTAAAATGAAAGGCGTGTTACTGGCAGTAAGTAAATAGATTTACAAGTCCCCACCTCAGAAAGGGGATCATGAAGGATGTTAACAATTACCGAAAATGGAGAAGACTTCATCGGAAAGAAGACTCCCCTTAGAAATCTGCACACGTGAGTTCACTTGCTTTTGTGAAAGAAAGATTCTGAGAGCCTTACAGAATGAAAGCAATAGTTTATGAAGATGCAGATCATTAGGCAGGTAGGCTCCATTTATGTCTTATATTAGGAACAGGCTTTTCTCCCTGGTTGTCAACAGCCACCTACACAGCAGCAGGATTATGTCTCACAGGATCCATCCGTCTGCCTGTGATGTGCTGACAACCGAGACAGTAGGTATAAAAACCCATGGTACACTTGTACTGTCCACAAGTTTCAATGTTTCTCCTTGCTCTGCAGTGGGTGCGGTATTTAAAATCCTACTCCATGGACCCTGATCTCTGGCATCTCACCAATTCCAAGATTCTATGTTTCCATGAGAACATGAAAGCAAAAGGCAGAAAAGTGGCTCATGCAATCATTGTGAGGAAGCAGTCTCCTTACTTCACTGCATATTCAAGGCCAAAGGCTCTCTCCAAAGACAGCTGTGTCTCCAAAATATCAATAGGATCCAGCATCAGACTATTCCCCAAAAGCTCACGAAGATATGAGATGATCCCATATTTTATAAAAATGAAAACTGTACCAACTGCCATACGGCGTCCATGTTAGCAAATGTTTACTCTGAACAGTAGGGTGAGAAGAGTGAAATGCTCGCGGGTCTGCTTCAGCACTCATTCTGGTCTTACACCTGCATAAGGGTCACTAAGGGAATCATTTCATAAGAATGACAATCAATTACATCAACATAGAAGAGAGACTGGGAAGAAATAAAACAAAATATTAATGTGGGTATCTCTAGGTAGCAGAAAGATCGTGATTTTAAATGTTTATATATTCCCAGATTCTTTATACTAAGCCTATATAATTTTTAAATCAGAACAAGTAACACATGATTGCTGTATGTAATATACATGACTAGAACATATAAACATAAAACAAATTATCTGCATGGAAATTATGATTTTTCCCTAAGACTGAGTCAGGAAGAAGCAAAACTCTTTCCTTACCTTCCCAGGACTCCCCTAAGGCATAGAAAAACTAGTGTAGCTAACCTCTGAGCTATGAGTTTTTCCTGATGTGACTCTGGAACAAACTAGTGCTCACCTGGGTTGTTCTTGGGAAGGCCACAGGTTCTTAGGGGCCATGAGAACAAAGCTGCGGGTGCTGGGAACTCAGTGCATTCCAGATTGATCCCAGCCTGCTCAGTGCCTGGATCAGTGTTTTAGTAAACGATGTTCCTTTCCCTCCTTACACGTGCTCCTGTGGCCTGCTGCCTTTTACGGAAGGAAGCCTTTCCTACTGTGTTCATCTTGCAGAATGTTAGCGTGACACCCCATGAGAGAGAAAGGTCAGATGCTTTCTACACAGGAAGCATGCAATACTATTTGAAGGATGAACGAACAAATGGTATTTGATGATAATGATATTTAGTGTGTTTAAATAACTGCCATACGGCGTCCACACTAGCAAATGTTTACTCTGAACAGTAGGGTGAGAAGAGTGAAATGCTTGTGGGTGCGGGCTTGCTTCGGCACTCATTCTGGTCTTACACATGCATAAGGGTCACTAAGGGAATCACTTCATAAGAATGACAATCAATTACATAACCACAGTAGAAGCTACATTTGAAATTTGTGTTCACCAGCTCATTGCTGATTTACACTTTCAGAATGAAGACTGCCTGTTCCAGGCTCTGCAAGCCATGGCCATTAAATGAGCACAATTTCTTGACAGCCTTTCTCTGCTTGGGTGATTCTCCAGGCATGCCCTTGCCTTGGCATTGTACTTTTTCAGATTCAGAATGCAAAAGATTGCTTAGGCTTAAACCTTCCATTTCCAATTTTCTACCCAATATATTTTATCATATATCTCCAAAATCATCTCTGCAGGTAAGCCAACCTTTCGTCGAGTCCACAGTTTCCCTACCCACAGTGGCAGATGCTCCTCCACCATGCACTGAGACACAGAGCCCCAATTCTCAGGAGTGGGGCTACATTTCAAGCAGGCTCCCTGCTACAGACTGAATGAATGTATTCTTTTAAAATTGGTACGTTGACACCTAACCCCCAGTGTGACTGTACTGAGAGTTGGGGCCCTTGGGAGGTGGATGTCATGAGGGTGGAGCCCCCATGAATGGGATTAGTGCCTTTATAAAAAGGACCCCAGATTGCTCTCTCCTCCCTTTCACCACGAGAGGAGGCAGCAAGAAGACAGTCATCCATGAACCAGAAGCAGGTTCTAACCAGAAACCAAACCTGCTAATGCCTTGATCTTGAACTTCCCAGCCTCTGGAATTGTGAGGAATAAACGCTTGTCTTCAGTATTGTTACAACACTTCAAATGGACTACGACAGTGCTGTTCCTAGAACTGGGCCGGTATCATAAGAGTCCACAGCAACGGAACTAGGCTGCTTATGAACAGGACAGGTTCAAAAACACAATGCCACTGGTCTTCTCAGGGCAGCATACCTCTTATCTTTGTCACCACAAAGCCCAGAACTACTGCACTGAGCAGCGGGATATCAGGGACAAGGGGAAATTCTTGATTTAAGAGCTCCTAAAACAGTGTTTACATGTCTACAACGTGCAAACACCTAGCTCTTTCAGGCAGGATATGTGTAGAACGTCCCCTCCTTTCTGGTTCAGGCTCCGATTATAAAGATAACTGAGGCAGAATGCTCAATCTCAGCAATCCAAAGATTTATATGCACCAGATCACAAAAACCAGAATCAAAAACAAGAAAGTGCTATTTAATTCTTTGTGTTTTTACCCAAAGAGTGTCATGGTAGGGGCATTTTCCTAAAAGAAGAACTTGATTCTTACATGTATGACAAGATGGAAAACCAACCCCTCTCCTCCTAAAAATGCATCAATAAAAGGAACAACTTAAAAAGTAGGCTTGATTTTCAATCCTGTATTTAATCACCAGAGTGTCATACACAGGTCATGCTCTTTGAGTCACTTTAGGCTTAATGAGACCCATTCACTCACATAGTCACATGACAAGCAACAAACCTCACAGCTCTGTAGGTTCTCTTTCAAAGGCTGCCCATGAGGTATGCAGGGAAATAAAGGACAATTGAACTGAATTCAGGTTCCGTAATATAAAACAGCCTATATTCCTAATGATGTTTCATGTCATGAAAACTTTTCTTTGGAAGGAAAATGGCCAGAAATACTAAGGAAAAAATAAACCAGTCATTCTGTGCACTCCTGCTGAACAACTGAGATGGAGCTGTGTGGCATTTATTACGAGCATCCCCACTGCTGGGAAGTCTATTGCTCAATGGTTTTCCTGGTGGGTTGCAGCAGGCTCGCCACATGTGGTCACTCGGAGAACAGCCTGGGCTCCCCTCCAGGAATCAGGCTGCTGCCTGGTTAAGTACATACCTAGATCAGGGCAGACTAACCGGGCAGGAAGGAAGCATGGCTCTAACTGAATGAAACAAACAGCAAAGATTTAAGAACAGGGATTCGAGAGCTATCTCCAAATCATAAAAAAACTAAGAGGTTCCACAATTTTTGTGCTCACAACAGAATGTCACCGTGATGACATGGGTAAGTCACATGTATTGCAAACCACCTGTACTCAGTTTGGGTGATAAAAGCAAATAAAAAACCCTGCTTTCCACTAAACAACTTAGGGAACTTGGTCAAATTGATAACTTGGTGCTAAAATTATATGGAAAACCTTCCCAAAGGAATCCTGTAAATCAGTCCTAAAGTAGGAACTAATGAAGAACTAACTTTAAAAAAAATGAATAGTAATATAATTTAATCAGATACGGAGCTACATGAGTGGAAATTTAAATTCTAGTTCCAAAATAGATGGCTTTACAG